GTGGGTGAGTGAGTGGGTGAGTGGGTGAGTTAGATGGATGGGTGAGTGAGTGAGTGGGTGGGTGAGTGAGTGGGTGAGTAGGTGAGTTAGATGGATGGGTGAGTGAGTGAGTGGGTGGGTGAGTGAGTGGGTGGGTGGGTGAGTGAGTGGGTGAATGGGTGAACAATTCAGTGGCTCATGAATGAATGCTGTATCCCATACTTCTCCCTAGTTTATTCAGATAATTACCTCCCAATAACCATTCTCCTCTTCTATCTTATGGAGCAAATCCCAAATTTTAAACTGGAAATATTATCATTCATTTCTCAACCTTCCTTGCAGCTGTGTGTTCCCATGAGATGAATTCTGGCCAGTGATGGAGAATAAGGACACTGTATGGAAGGAATAGTGTACATGGCTTTGTAGCAAGGACCGAACAAGTCTTCCTTCCTTTTCTCGTTCCTGCTACCTTGCATCCAGATATAACAGCAGGAACTGCAGCAGCTCTCTTGGGTAGGAGGACAGGAGGTACACACATGGAAGAACAGAGAGACAGAAGGCTCTTGAGTGTTTGATAATTCACAGAACGGGCTGAGTTGCCATGTACTACCTATCTCAGAGACTATTTTTAAGAGTCTGTAAACACTTGTAAATTTAAACTCTTTGGTTGAACCTCATCCTTAAAAACAAACTGAATTCTAAACCGAGCCCCAAGGATTCCTTGGGTCCACTGTGTGAACACATCTTCCTTTCAGAGTCTTATGCCAGCCCCTCAGTGGCTCTGCCCTTCCCTACACTGCCTTCAAAGGCTGAAGAAATCTTCTCACAGCCAGCCTCTCACTGCTGCTCACCTCTTTCCTCTGGAAGCCCAGGAGGGAGAGAGAAAGCTCTACCACAAGTGCAGGAAATACTACACATTCCATTGGCGACCCTCCAGTAACAGGTGAGTTCTGTCACCTTCCTCCTGGGCAATATTAATATTTTACATTTCGAAGCCAAAGTCCTTGAGCATAGCCGCTCTCTTCCACCGCCTCTACAATCTCTAAATTACCTGCAGAAAGCAAACCTTGAATCCACATCTCTGCTGAGCCTCAGTGCTCAGAGCCATCCTTCGTCCCCTTCTGCTACTTAGTTCTCTGGCTGCTGCCCTGCTGTAGGATGAAAATGAGAAGTCTCCACATGCACAATCTCTCACCTTCCCACCAAACTCGACTGATTGGTGTGTGGAGTCCTTTAATGGCTTCTCCACTTCCCTTACTGTACCTGCCTCACTTAGATGCAGTGCTTCTGTGTGACAGTTAGGCTTCCAGATAAGGTCACTTTCCCACTGCCCACCTCCCATGGCCAGTGGCCTGGTAGAGGCATAAAACAGACCAGAGACCAGGGAGCACCTCCAGGGCATTTTTATTTTACACCCTGAAATCTTTGTTCATATGACGCCTTCAGAGAGGCTGTCTATGTGGAGCAGATAAAGACAGCTTGCTCAGGTGGAAGGAGATGGTGGAGCCAGGCTGGAGGGACCCCGTGACCCACCCACAGCTGCTCCTGCCTCTCAGAGGCCTGGGTCTCCAAGTGGTAGCTGTGCTCCTTGTCCCCCCCACCGCCCCATCCTCAGAGCTCCTCCCCAGGTGTGTGCTTGAGTCCATCCCTCACTCCAGTCAGTCGTTAGATAGCTGTCCCCTCACCGTGGAAGCCTTTGCTGGCCACTTATTTGAAGTAAACCTCGCTGTAAGTCACCCTGTCTGCCTTCAGGCTGCATTGGTCTTGCATCAGCCCGGGTCCCCTGAGAAGCAGAAGCAAGGATGGAATAAGGAACACAAACTTTTATAAGAGAAAGTATGTGAGAAAATAGAGAGTGGGCCAGGGACAGAGCTGTCAAGCTGCAGGGAAAACCTGCCCCTGAGTGGGGAAGATGGGAGGGAGGAAGGGGCGGGAAGAAATTTGACTGTAATGGCTCTTAACCCTAACCCAAAAACAAACCCTAACCATCAGTGAGTCCCATGTTTGCTCTAGTACTGCTGCCATCTTTGATCATGAGCAGGGGAACATTGTTCCCAGCGCACACACCATGATAGAACCAGGACTCACCGCTGTGGATCTCGGCCACTTATACCCCTTGCCAAGAGGGACCTGTGTGGCTCCTGTATATGACGCTCACCTTCTTCCTCATAGTACTTCTGCTGCCTGGCATTGTCTGGTACGTGTTTGTTTATCATTGTCTTCCATGCTCCAGTGTGAACTCAATGACACCAGTAGAACACCTGGCCCATTTGCTGCAGTGCCCTCAACTCCTCACACAACAGCTGGTGATTTAAAAAGGCTCAGCAAATACAGGCTGGAAGGGCCGAAGGGACTGGAAGACAGTTAAAGTGTGAAGGGAGCAGTGTAGTGATCTCAGAGTTGTGCTGAGTTCCAAAGCTTCTCATGTGAGGTCATTAATGATCTAAGTATGATGTCACCCTCAGCACATCCTCCACCCAGCCCCATGCAGACCCTCCAACATGAGGCACAGTTTCAAAACTCTTGTTTCCTGCTGCAGAGGGACCAAACCCTGAGGGTCACGTGGGAATCTGATTCCACTATGTGCATTTCAGCACCCAAGAGATCTGAGGTGATCAGGACATAGTTTACTGTGAGTGTGGAAGTGTGAAAAGACACCGGCCTCTCTGCGCATCTGCACGTGAATCCAAAGTGATTCCTCAAGATTAGGACAAACAAAGAGCCCAGGGCACATGTGAATGTCTCCTGCTAGTTTACAGGGCTCTCCAAAATGCAGAGGTTCCCTTTGGTATGGCAGATTCAGCTCATCTGAGCAACAAGCCATAAAATCCCATGTGTGCACTGAAGGAACAAGGATGCTGCGTGGCCTCCCACATGGCCTTGCCTTCCTATCCTCTGCACCATTTTTAGCCAAAGCTGCTGCAGTCCTCCCAACATTTCAATAAAAATGGAATCTCACAAACCTTCAAGCAGCTAATGGTGACCTCTGATATTTCACTAGAGCTCAGGATCAAGCAAAGGACAAGGCATTTGATGGATTTGAGATCATGGAAGGAGCTATTATCTTATGCTCCACTGACCCAGGGGAGGACTCCAGAAAGGGGGTCTCAGGGACCCCAACAGGAGAGGAGAGAGGCCCTGCATGAACAAGGGGGTCTGTAAGCGCCAGCACCCTTCCCTTCCTTAATCACACTTTTATCTGTCACACACTACATTCTGGGTGTTGTAGTAAGCTTTTCTATAAATAAAGTTCTGAACAAACAACTCAAATAGCACTAGTTAATCCACTGAGATGATTTAGCATGTATGTCAGAGCCTTCATTTCCATAAACCCCTGGGGCTACTCACTTTGGATTCACTGACGTAGTCCTACTCCCCAACACTCAAGGGCTATCTCCAAAATGAGACAGATGTTGTCTGGCACACACCCTTAACTGTGACTCTGAGTGGAAAAATTATTTTTAAAAAAGAAATACTTCATTGAATTTACATTTACTGAATTTTGACTATCTGCTAAACTCCAGGGATAAGATTACCCTCCCCAGTAAGTAACTTACAGAATAATAGAAAAGCACACAGTCAGTGTGAACACAGCATGCTGGACCGGTTAGAATTTACACCTACAAATGACGAATACCCTCAAAATGTGACTTAGGCATCAAGGAGTTATTATTGTATCTCATGTATCAAGAAACCCAGAGGAGAAAGTTCCCAGGTTGCTTCATCATTCAGGAACAGCAGGGACCTTGTTCGCCTTCTTGCAGGTTCTCTTGGCTTCTCCTCATAGTTGTAAGGTGGCTGCTACAGCTCCAAACACCACATCCTCAAAGAATGGCACTCAATGGCTATTATGGTTCCTACATGGGTGTCCCCAAGAGCCTCATGCACCTATCAGCAGAGCTTTTGGAAGGTGTTTGGATGATGGGGGCTCATAGCTGACTTGCTGTTGGAAGGTGGGGCCTGGTCAGAAGAGGAGGTATGGCCTGGAAGGGCTTTTCTCCCTCCCTGGCTCCTCCCATCATTCTCTCTGTTTCCCAAATGCCTGCTGTGAGCAGCTCCCCTCTACTATGCTTCTCTGCCATGCATCCTGACTTGGAGCCAGGGGGCTGTGGACTGGAATGTGAGCCAAAACTGTCAACCTCTCCTTCCCTGACTTTGTGGGTGTAGGGTGTTTTGTCCCTGCAACAAGAAAAGTGACCAAGATGATGGCAGATGGAAAAGTGTCATTCCTTTGCAACTGCTACATCGATTCATTCTCTCACTCATTCATTTTGCAAATATTCATCAAACCACTACCTGGTCAGCTCCCAGTCCAGCAGCGAGCAATCCAGCAGTCAACAGACTGGGCAGAAACCAAGCACTCTGAGAGCTGGCACCTGGCTCCCTGGCCTCCAGCTCTTCCTGGCCCCATAGGCAAGTGTATCCAGAGCTCTGACCACTAGGAGCTTGAGTCTCTGGACTCCTTTAAATGTCACCACCTGTAAGCTGTTCGCCCATCACCTGATAAAGAGGGATGTGGCTATCGCTTTCTCATGCCCTTACCATCTCTTTCCCTTTCCTGTAGAGGAAGGTGGAAAAAGATAAAATTTCCCCCACCCAAAGCAGCCAGAAGTCCCAAAGAAGTACTGATTTCTCCAGATGATTTACCTAGCAATCCTTCTACATTTCTCTTGTGTTGTTGAGGAAAACAGCCAGGAGTATTACCCTGGGCTAGAGGCAGAGATCAAGGACGGACATAGGGTTTGTTGGGAGCAGACAGCAGGAAGAATTGAGTAGATGGGCTCTGAGATAGGGCCACCTGGATCCCCATGCAGGCATCCCCACTTAGCAGCAATGCCACTGAGCAGGAGGGACAGACGATGAGCTGTGCGGTCCAGAAGCAGCTGCCCACAGTAGGGGACGACGATGACAGCTATGACCACAGCGGTGCATCCACACTGCAGCGCTGTAGGATGAGAGGTGGCTGTGCAGGGACCAGGAGGGGTGACGGCAGGGCCAGGGACATCCCACAGGAGACTGGCGGGCTGCAGCCAAAGGCAACGGTGAATGCGGTGGAGCGCACCTTCCGGCTCTCCCCACCCTGTTTACCTAACAGCTCGTGTCCTCCCACCCCTCAGCCCACGCAGAGGAAGGCGGGAGGGTGTGATTTCTGTGTGCACTTCAGAAACTGGCGTCGGCGGTTTCATCCTTAATCCTTCATGTCCGAGGCCAGTTGGCATACGTCATATGTTTGAAAAAAATCTATCTTCCTCTTAAAAACACAGCTCAGGGCAACCCTTACGTCAAAATTATGGTTACAGATTGGTTCCGGCAAAAATATCGAGTAAAATGTCTCACCATTCGTGATGGGACAGCTGTTGCCTTCTTCCCAACAAGGAATCAAAGGATTGTGTTACCCTGAATGAAAATGACCGAAGTGTGATTGTTTTCCTTTTAACCTCCATCCCGCCCCCTGAGGAAATTTACATAAAAGGAATTTATAATCCGTTCCCTCCAGCCAGCATGTCATAAGATCCCCTTGCTTGGGATATCCATGGCAGTAACCCTCAACCGAGCCCCAGGCTGCTGTGATCCAGAGTGGATTGGACTTCCGAATGGTAAATGCAATCAGTGTAGACAAGTACTCTGGATCACCCAAACTGGGGGTTGCTTCTGGATGTGAATGCCATGCGTGTTTTAGCTATTGATCAAATGCCCTGATGAATTCGCAGCTGTCAAGGACGGCGGATTGCAGTGAAATGGCCTGAGAGGCTTCATGGAATTGGAAATGGCGCTCGCTCTCACTGAGGAGGGGCACTTCCGGGGTTTCTAAGGAGACGACGCTGCAGACGGACTTTCCAAGTCAGGACTTGCCCTGCAAGCTGCTCTGTCAGTGGGAACCGCTCCTTTTCAGATCGTCGTTCTGGGATGCCCTGACACACACACACCTGTGGCCACTGAGCAGCACCGAGCGCATGGTGGGCGAGCTACAGAGAAGCCGAGTGATCACAGCCAACGGGGCATCCGCTTGCAACCTGCCCTGGGAGCAGGGGCCAGTGGGTGATGGTGTCCAGGGTCCTCAAAGCTGGAGCTGCCTTTTCTGAAACAGGCATTGAAAACATGATTTGTTTTTGTGCTGTGAAAGATTCTGTTTAGAGGGTGAAAAGACAATCCGAAGATGGGAGAAAATATTTGCAAGCTGCATCTCTTACAAACGCCTTGCATCTAGAATATATAAAGAACTCTGAAAACTCAATGGTGGAAAAACAAACAAACAATCCAATTTTAAAATGGCCAGAAGACAAGACCAGATATTTCAGCAAAGAGGAGAGACAGATGGCAAATAAACACAAGAAAAAGTGCTCAATATCATTAGCCATTAAGAGAATTCAAGTTAAAGCCACAATAACTATCCTTACACACATGTCTTGCAATAGCTAAGATAAAAAAACAGTGAGACCAAATGCTGAGGATGCAGAGGAACCAGATCCCCACACACTACTGTTGGAAATGTGAAAGGGTACAGTCAGCCACCATAGAAGAGTTTGCCAGTTCCTTACAAAATTAAAAAAAGAAAAGCACTTACTGTATGACTCAACAATTATACTCCTGGGCATTTCTCCCAGAAAAATGAAAACTTATGTTCATATAAAAACTTATACACAAATGTTCATAGCGGTTTATTCATAATAGCAAAATACTGGTGGGGGGACATCTATGTCCTTTAGTGGGTGAATGGTAGAGAAAACTGGTACCTCCACAGAATGGAACATTGATCAATAACAGCACAAAATGAATTATTGTTATTTGCAACAATCTGCATGGACCTCAATGGCATTATGCATAGTGAAAAAAATTTCAAAAGGTTACACAGCTTTTAAACATGATTCCACTTTGAATTAGTCCATTTCCTACTGCTATAACAAAATCTCTAAGGATGGGCACTTCATAAAGAAAAGAGGTTTACTTAGCTCACAGTCGTGGAGGATCGGGTCATGGCACAGACTTCTGCTTGGCTTGGCGAGAACCTGGGGTGGATGACATCAGAATAGCAGGAGAACATGCATGGAGGAGTGATCACAACCACACAGCATAGCTGGAAGCCAGAGAGCAGAGGGGCAAGCTTGGACCTCCCACTAGGACCACCCCTTAAAGGTCCATCTCCCCTCCACTCCAAAGGGCAATCCTTCAACAGACCAGTGCAAATCATGACAGCTACTAACACTCTCAAAGTAACAAAACTATAGAAATGCAGAACAGATCAGTGGTTGCCAGGGGAAGGAAAATGGGAGAGTAGAAACACAAAGAGGTGGCAGGGAGTTCTTTCATGGAATAGTCTGTACATTCAGTGTGATGGTGCTCAAACGATTCCACACATGGATGAAATCACACACACACACACACACACACACACACACACACACATACACACAGTCTTAAAAATGCTGAGATGGAATAAGGCCTGCAGTCTAGTTAACAGTTATGTCCCAAGGTCAATTTCTTGAGTTTGACATTGTACTTTATAAAATGTCACTACTGGGAAGGTAATGTTAACTAACATAAATCATACACACAAGCTTAAAGATTATGTGATTTCTCTTATGTGAGAAACCCAAAGTCTAAACATAGACCAAAATGAAAGATGGGTAATAGGAAGCAGGGAGGTGGATCTTTCACAAAGAGAAAGGGGACCAAGAGATGAAGGGAGAGAAAGAGGGGAAGGGAAGGGATGAGAAAAGGAAGTGAACTGTGTTGTATACAGGCACCAGCTCCCCGCAAGGAGTGTGAACATTGTGTCCATTTTTGCAACTTCCAGTGAATCTACTGCTCCTTCAAAATAAAAATTACCCAAAGTCCTCTACTCATCATCGTCTACCCATTCCTTCACTTACTCACTTAGTCATCCACTCCTGACATTAGCTGTGATGGTGTCCATCCCCATCCAAAAATAACCCATCCAATACCTAGCGACTCTCCCTGTTTACTCTCAGAACAGGGCTTTGGAAGGCGTTCCGGGAGGAGCGCAAGCTGGAGGCCTGCTGGGCAGTTTAACAAGACAGTCTCCACATAGAAATAAACAGGCAAACAGGGAGGGCTGGGATGTACTCAGTGGTAGAGTGCCCATGTGCTCTATCTCTAGTACTATAAATGAAGGAAGGAGGGAGGGAGGGAGGGAAGGAGGGGAGGGAAGGAAAAAGGAGAAGGGAAGGGACAGGAAAGATTGAAAAAGAAAACATTGCTGAGGCCTGTCTGTGCTGGGCTTACTCATGAATGGTACTCTTGTCCAACACTGTCCTGACGAGGCACTGGGGGTGGACATGATTGTCCTCCATGAGTAGAGCTATGCAATGTAATAAAAAAAATATGGTGATGAGTTTTTAAAATTTATGTCAGTAAAAGAAACATTGTTGTTAACACCTATCAAAATACCTATCCCTTCCTTCAGACATGTTTATCCCATCATTCTTGCCACCTGCTGAAGCAGTTCTGGAAGTCCTCTTTCATGAGTGTCTTTAGCTGTACTCTTGTGGCTGCCCTGGTGTCCTGAATCAATTCAAAACATTTACCATTCATGGCCATTTTGACTTTGGAAGAGCCAGAAGTCAAGTGCCCCCAGACCCAGAGAATAAGAAGGACAAGAACACACCCTAATATTTTTACAAGCCTGCCTTTTAATTGGATAGCCCTGAGCAACAGCATTTACCACAGTTTGATCGTGAATTCGTGAAAGAGGACTTTCTGGCACTGCTTCAGAAGGTGGTAAGTACACTGGAATCAACGTGTTCCAAGCAAGAAGGAGTATCCTGAGTGGGACCAGTATGTCTTTTACTGTAATAAATTTTTTAAAATTTAAGTATTCACCCATATTTTTCAATCATCCCTTACATGTCTAGAGCATCAACCCTGGAAGATTCTGTTCCCCTTGACGTATCTAAATTCTTAGAGAATGTTTTCATTTCAAGTAGTGCTACTTCGAAAGGGAAGGAGTTCCATGTGTTTACCGCCCTGTTGTTTGAAACAATTCACACTTAGTGCTGCTCTTCCAAGGTTCTTCAATTCTTTTGAAACTTTATGAGGGCCTTTATTTGAGTCTATTGGAATTTGGTTACAGATTTATTTACAGGTGTCTTCTGTAGGCCCCTTATGAATCTGTAACACTTACTTATTTCTCTAAAACTTTGGCCTTTGCATACCTGAGTCCATACCCTTTGAGCTTTTGCTCAAATGCAGACTCTTCACTGGCTTCCTCCTTTGTGCTCTTCCCTACAGGTCATTCCTTGGTCAGGGCCATGACTAAAATGGTATGTATTCCATCACGTGCTGACCCACCTAGGCTTTACACAACACATACCGGACAAAACTATTAGGATCCAGGACCAATGAAAGGGTCTGTCACATGCTAACAACTTTGGAGGTGTGAGTTTTCTCTGAGACTTTTTTCTTGCCTTTGTATTAACAACTGAAATCTGCCTAATGAAGCTCATGGGCAGCCTCTACCAGAGGAACTAAGAGGCTGAGCTGCTAGAACATGAGGCAGAGAGGAGAGAGGTCCCCAGGTGTCCACAGCTGGCTGTAGCAGTGACAGTGGAGAGGTGGGAACAGTGGACATTTACAGAATGACATCAGTAGCTCCAAACTGCCTCCGTTTCCACTCTTCATGCTCCCTAACTGTGAGGCCCAGAGTTGTCCCTGGGCTTGTTGACTCCCAGGGATAATACTGAAAGTAAACACAACTCCAATTTTATTTCTGACTCTCCTCCGAATAAAGGACAAAGTTCTTGATGTCAGATGATACACAATCCACACATTTTTAGCAATCTACAGTGTATATTTTATCCCATTTCTGATTGACAACTGATAGCTAACATTTCATGAATTACTTGGGTTTGTCCCCTTTTCATGTGTTTTTACACTTTTTTTAGCATTTTGTATACATTTACACTTATGCAATGACTTCATAAACTATATGTGAATAAATGTTGGCAATGGTACTTAAAATGAAATTGTTATAATAACCACGGTGTAATCACCATCACGTGAATGTGTTCTTTCTCTTCATATCTCAGCCTCCATTGTAGTTAACCTTCTTGTCATGTTGTGACATCACACGACAGCTTTCTGATGAAATAAACCGAGATAAATGGTGGATCAAATGGTCACCTTCTTGTACATAAAAGAATTCACAATGGGGAGAAACCTTATGTATGTGAGATATGTGGAAAAAATTCTCATAAATCCACGTTTTGTAGACATAGAAGATCCCACATTGGGGAGAAACCCTATGTATGTAAGCAATGTGGGAAATCTTTCAGAAA